CTTTGCGAGGCTGGGAAGGAGCTGAAATTCCAGAGCTGCTTCTGTAGCACTGATGAGAACAGGGGTCTTGGAAGGACTGAGGTTTGGCAGCTGTGGAGCCTCTCAGAAACGCTACACAGTGTTGTGTCTGTGCCCTGTATTTGGAAGGAAATCTAATTGTGACTGGAAGTCTCACCCAAATACAGCCATTTTTGATGGCATAATTTTCCCTGGATTCAGCTATACAGAATGTTGGGAATCTGTAGCCAGAAAACGAACAATGCACCAATGTGGGAAACCAGCCTAGTTTTGGCCACAATAGCTCTGTGCCTCTGATACCGTCATTCTGGTACGGGAATGTTGAAGTAAATGAACCAAACAACCCCCACATCTACAGGTACTTGGAAAATATCTAATTGTTTGCATTTTTTTCCTTCCAACAGTGAACATCCACCTGTTTTTTCCAGAGCAGCACAACTGGTCTATATGGAACATACCGGGAAGCCAAGTGGGCGATTGCCTGTGCTATTTATTTTTAAGTAAGTATTTTATGTAGATGGCAGACTGTACAAACAAAATTGAGGTATCAGTAATCTTAAAGTGTTCAACAGCAATCAATAGGATTTGTTATTTGGAGGACAAGCCCTGTACTTACCTCCCACTGAAATTGCCTGAACTTGACAAATTTTCTTAAGGGTGGAGAAAATTGTAAGGCTTTTGATGAAAAATAGCTGAAATTACTCCCTTTAAACCAGAAAAAAATGGTGCATGGAAGAAATAGTGATTTGAAAAACCCATTTGCTACAGGCATGCAGTATTTTCTTGAAGTCCTTAATAGCTGGAAACTCCTCTCTTCTGTTATTTTGTGCCCTGTTCCCTACCTTCCCTGAATATATCCCTGTTAGTAATGAATACTTAAGTAGCAACAGTTTCTCCTTCTCTTGGCAAAATGTGTGACTTTTTAATAAATAAGTTTCTAAGTAAAAACTACTTTAAGTGTATTTATTTGCAGAAAGCAAGTTTATGAGTCTTTTGGCAGCAACTCAGCACACAATGCCAATCTAAAGATGTAACTAAGGATGAGAGGTTTAACTGTTTGTATACTTAAGAATGGGGAGAGCACCTTCTCAAATGTCTCCTTAAAACGTTTATTGAAGAATGATACCACACTTTCAGCTAGTAAAGTTCTCCTGTCACTTTTCAAAGGGCAGTTGACAGCACTGGAAAATTCTCAACACACACAGATTGCAGGATGGATGGCAGAGGTTGGGATGGATGAACAAGGATTAGCCCTCACAATGGTACGGGGATGGGCCATATCTTGTCTTCCAGACAAGAAGCCCTGCTGAAAAAAAACTGCAGCTAATGATGGAAAGCTGAAACCAGGTAAAAGGAACCAATAGCGACATTAAAATTTAATTGAATTGAAAATTCCTTGTTCTGCATTTATGCTTTGAGCCTGTCTCTGATTTATTTACACTTACACAGATCAAAAGAAACTGAATTTAAAATTACAGAGAAAAGAAACTAGCACAAACAGTATAAAGCTCAGTGCCAGCATTCCACTGTGATGAAATACCTGTGATCTTAAAATAGCTGATATGCTGACTATTCCATAATCAGATCAAAATTTAAGTCTATACATTGCTCTCCAGCAAAAACAGATTTCCTGCTCACCAGCGGATTTTTTCCAAAAAATATCTTTACTATTACCTTTATGTAGCAAATAGACTTGAATAGTATCATTCTTTATTCAGTGCATTATTGTTCGAGTAATTTCATTACACAAGTAACACAAATATTCACAAGGCTTGAAATTAATTTGCCTTATTGTTTGCTTTTTATTTCTCTTTATTACACGAAGTAGTTACAAAGTGGCAATAGAACAATCTCTTTGCTTTAACAATCCACACAGGTGTTCATTTGCTAAATGTTTTAAATCTGAAATGAACCGTATCAGAACTAGCAGACTATTACCAGTTATTAAAGGTTTCTTGTGAAACATCTGACACCTGTATTAAACTTGAAATTGAAAGCTCTGTAAATGTGAGTACTTCACATGGGTCCTCAGCCCAATTACATTAAGCTCATGAACTACAGTTCAGGGATGATACTGTGCTATGGTAATTCCCAGCATGAAATTGTCTCTTAACATTAAAATCTATGAAGCGAAGAGTGGAGCGTAATGAAGTAATTTAGAAATTTACTGGCTGTACAGTGAAAATGCATATCTTTAAATTAGAACAATTTTCCTAGCAGTGCCTTTATAGTTTGGGCAGTCCTTTTTTTCAGAATTGCCAGAGCCAGGAAGAAATACCTATTTGCCTGGTGAAATAAAAACCATCAAGTGGAGTTCTTAGCCTTAGAAAAAGGCTTTGCACTTTTGATCTGTGTATAAAAATCAGTGGAAAAATCTGGAGCATAAATTTAAACTACTTTCCTATTATTATTTTCTTAGGATGTGATAGCATTCATATGTTCCCTCAAAAAAAATCTCTTTGATATACAAAAGTATAGATACGATACCAATTTGGTTGTTGGTTTGTTTGGATTTTATATTTTTTTTGTTCCCCCTCCCCCCATCTATAATTAGAATACTAACCATTGAATATTAGGAATATGCACCACTGAAAGTAAGTAGTTCTATTTGCAACAATTTGAAGAAGGCAAGCTGCAAAAGCATTTTTAATAAAGGCTTTAGGGAATCAAATTATTTACAGCATGTGATGTGTTTGATTTACTGCAGCAAGTACAGAAAGGTTTAAAGTGGGTTGAAGACTTATTACAAACATTGTCCCTTTGCAGCTGATCTTAGTTTTTGGAACCAGAAGAAACAAGTTGAGCATGCTTCATGGAGCACCTGGATCTAACTCAGCACATGCCCCATGCAAAAAGAAACCCCACCAAACAGCTGAATTTGTTCAATTCACATTTAGGATGAACTTGTTTAGGACCAAAGCTATAAAATTTTGTGTAAAATTTAGTATTTTGTAGAAGTCTCATCTCTTAATGATACCACAAACAGCATGCTTATTTTGGCATTAATACCAATGCACAGAGCATGGGGCTGGAGGAAACTAAGATGCACAAATGCACTACTTAGAAGCTTTTCTTGCAGTGAATTAGATTTTATCTTTATGGACTTTTTTTTCCTCAGCTGATTGAGATGAGTATCATCTGTAAAGTTTCAAACTGGAACTCAAAAGAACAATTTTATTACAGCATGAAGGAGCTGGTGCCACTCTGTTGACTTTAGTAGGAGGAAGAAATTAACAGAACTAGTGGGAGGTACCAATGTCTTAAAATCCTAGTTACTCACCAAACTGGCAAGGAAGCATGCATGTGCTAATCTCCATGCCAGCAAGAAGAAACAGGGCTGCATAGTATATGTGTCTCCTCAAAATACAAGTGCAAGTTATCTCCATAAAAATCTTCAGTGGCTGCTTTCTGCTGGGAAGCCTCAGCTCTTGCAGGCACTCCTGGCCTCTCCTGACAATGTCTTGTAAGGGGTGCTTGTGTTGGTTGTTTTGACATTCCCCTTCCTGCCTCCTCTGTGAGCATAAATTCTGGCTGGCAATAAAACCCCTCAAGTCAGAGGCCACGTCCCTCTGTAATGGCCACACATCAAGACTATTATTTATTACAAGCAGCTGATGATACCAAGATGGAGCTCTTGCTACAATCCTGTAAAAAGCTTATTTGTTTCTTTATCAGTTGATCTCCTTATAGTGATTAAAGATTAGGACTTTAAACAGGAAAAAAAAGCACTTTTTGTGAAAGCCATGACATACAGCTTTTAAGAATATATTGCTTCAGTCCTAAGGGTTGCCCATACAGTCAGTAGAATCTAGATGGGTTACAAGGCAGTTCCAAGTTGTCCCAAGGCAGAGTTTTAACAGAAATAAAACTCAGAGGTAGGGGAAATAAGTATTAAAATGAGATAATTAGGCAAGAACACAGAAAGGAACCTCACACAGCAAGGGGCTTTCCAAGAGATTAAACCTTTGTGTTTAAATAAATCATTTACTATGCTGAAAGAACAGAAAAAGTGCTTGCTTTTCTGTTAACTGAGCAAGGAGAAAGACCAAAGGAAAGAGTATACAAAGACAATGGACAATAGAATGTTTCATACTAGAGGAGCTTCAGAACTGAAGAACTCGTTTTTAGAACAAGCATTTGAAAAAAATGAAAATTCCATGATGAGCTAACTAAATGGCTATGGGAATTTACTGCATGTTGAAGTAATAGCATGCTGTGTATTTCCAGTATGAGTGAAAACATGAGGATGAAGATCACACTGGGTCCAGAAGTGATGATGATACAGACTTGCTTTGCAGTATAAATTTTCATAGTTACACTGTTGAGTTCACTCATGTTACCAGCAATATCCAAAATTTGGTGAATATCTGATACAAGCCAGACACAGAAGCAGGCACAGTGTGATGCTGTACTCCATAATGATGCTGCTGCACTGTGCAATCCTATGTATAAAGCCAGTAGCATTTGACCTCCTTCATGCTGAGAGCCCTTCCTGTTCCTCCTGCCCTTCTGTATCACATGGATCCTGTAAGACTTTGCTTTACTTCAGAACACCTCAAAACGCGGCTTCTTCAAGCCCTAAATTTTTTATGATGTATTGTATGTTTTCTTTTAATATATATGCCTATACTTTAAAAAATGTATGTCCTATAGCTTTCAAATTATGTATTAGCTATATATGGCAAATCCCCTCAAAGACTTCTTCCAGTGCTACTTGTGGAGAAGTCATGGAAAAACAAAATCTCTGCTAGTCCCAGACAAGTAGGAGCTGCAAGCTCTAAGAAAGTCTAATATATTCAGCTTATTTTGAAGGCAAGTTTCTTTACTTAATTGATATAAGAACTGTAGAGACAATCTATCAAGAACTTTTCCTGAATACACAAGAATACATGGATAACCAGTGGTAATTACAGCATTTGTTTTCATTACAGTGATCATTTTTTACACGTTTATTTTTTTTACACTGACCAAAACTCATCTTATTTTCACACAGTGGTTTATAACCTCCAGTGTACAGAGCCAGATTTATCAGCCTTTTATATACCGCTTTCAGTGAAAAAAACTTCTACACAAAATGTATGAACTCAGCACTTTATTTGATGAGTGCAAGCCCACAATTACTCCAGATTAACTTTCTGAAAGAACTGAATTCATAAATAACAAATTAGTAGTAATTAATTTAGGACATGGGTGACTTAGAGCTCATGTCCATCTTGACTCAAATTCATCCCAGATTTGTTTTTACAATTCATCAAGAAAAGGAGTACTTCCCAAATCCCCAGTAGCTGCCATTGATTTCTTCCCACTGATGAACTTCTTTGCAGCCTGAAAAGAAATCAGGAAAGTGGTTATGAGGAAATACTCACTACAAAATGGCAGATAGACAGTTGGATATAAAAAGCATGAACTCTAAAAATGGTTATTCCTAGTATAATAATTACACCATAAGATAAAGTGTATCTCACTACTAGAACTACTGCTAGTTGCAGCAATACAAATAAGCATTATGAAAAAACAAATTTTGTATCTCAGAATTTCTCTTTATGATGGATTTTTAGAAATTTGCTTCACATATAAGCAACAAGGTAATGTGCAGTAGCAACAAAGTTACATCAATTTATCACTGAAAGCTTAATTGTTTTATTAAACCCACCCATTATTCGAGGCTCAGGAATCCTAAAAACATTGACACAGAATCACCTGCACTGGAACTGATATGAAGTTTTCTGTGAATATTAGTTGGCAGTTTTGGTAAATTTAAGTGAAGAAGATGAGAATTTTACATAATTCCCAGCTACACTAGTTTTACAGTGTATTGGATTAAAGAGTCTTCTGTTAGTAAAGTAAGACATCAAAAGATACCCAGCTGGGATTTGTAAATGAGCTGCTTCTCTGTTTTTAAAGATAGTATATGTGTTTATAAACACATAGAAATGAGCATCAGTTTTCCATAAAAAACTTGACACAGTGATTAAGGAACACCTGTAGATGCTGACACATACTTACATTCACAACATCAGCAGTGGCTACAGAGTCGATTTTTTGAGCAGCAGCAGATGGGGATGTGTGTGTGCCAGAAACCAGGGACTCAGAGCCAATTTCATTCAGCAACCCTTTTGAAGTCTCCACTGACATCAAATAGTTGGCTTTCAGCTGATTTCTGCCGTCAAACAAAGAAAGCATCAGGAATGAGGAAGCTTGTAAGTCCTGCTATATTACCTTTCCTACCACCCCATAAATACAATGAAGTTTTGGTCCTTTTAAACTTCTCAAGATTCCATTTTGAAAGGTTTCCCTTTTTTAATAGGGAAGGATTCTGTAGTTAGGAAAGAGGCACCGCAAATAGTCCAAGCATGAAAATGACAGGTACTTGAACACCTACTGTCCCCCCACAAAGTCAGAAGATCTCTAGCTCAGGATTTCTTTCTGTCTGAGGTAACGAATGCAGTTAGACAAACTATCAAGTTTAAAATTAATTTTCTCAAGAACAGATGTATGCAGAGCAATTTGTCTTAAGTGGCAAAGAAGCAGTGAATGTAAATGGTCAGGCTCCTCCTGTAATAGTTACATGTTTTGTAAAAAGAGTTTATGTTCTTTGTGTTCCATGCAGAATCACTACTACATATAAAAACCTTATTTTTGTTAGACAGTCCTTTTATTCTGAAGACAAAAAGATAGAAAATTATTTATTTCAATAGCTCACTATTAAGTAGCTTGGTATTTCTGATTGAATTGCCAGACTGCAAATAGAATTGACTGGGTTTATTTCTCTTTCTCAATAAAGGAAAAAGAGGAATATAAGAAATGTATGAAGTCATTCACAAGGGAAAAAAATAACCAAAAAAAAACCCCAAAACAAACAAACAAAAAAAACAACCAAAAACTAGCCACAGCAGCACTGTGTAACTCCCTAATACTAGGTGGCTTTGTTAAAAAACAAACAAAAAACCCCCAACAAAATACCACAAAACCCACAACACACAAAACAAATAACGCCCAAGTATAAAAGTCCAGAATCCACCATTTAGCTACTTGGGGACTAAGGTGCAACCAATCATGTCTAGACTATCCTATTTTGTGCTATATCTATGCTTTACATGAAGTCTTGTGTTTTATACATGCAACAGATAATATTTTCATTTTGCTATTTGAGTCTGTACTATATTGTTTTGCACAACCAGATTAAAAAGTGCAATGAAGTTTAATACTACTTGGACACCCCCTCCCCCAAATAGTCCTAGGGGCTTGTACTTCCAGCACTCGGGGTACCATCACTAATTCAGTGCTTTACAGTTGCAGACCCTCATTACTCTTTTTCTTTGAAGATGGCACAGATTGCTTATTATAATTGTTTGGGGAATTGCTCAGTGTAACTGTAAAGGGAATTACCTAAATAATGCAATTTAGGATTCTAATTCAAATACATCTTAATACTACAAAGTATGATTAAAACGAACACATCTGCTGACACTTGCTAATTGCTTATATTGAAACAGTCTTCAGAAAACATTAACACTTCTCTAGCAAGTTTTTATTAGGAAATAACACTACTGGAGAATCAGTGCAGCTTTGAAAAAATATTGATAGGGGCTCAGTTTTTATGCAGGACCATGAGTAGCTCCCCATGGAAATAATTAGAGGATAAGCTCTACTGTACAGAATGGTCTGCGTGTTTGACAAGCAGCTGCATGTTAAGGAAATTCTCTTTAGAGCACATGAGAATTATTTACACACTTACTTTGCCATTGTGACTTCAGCATCGGTGACACCACCCTGGGCAACTGCCTTTACCTGGTTCAAAGCAGCTTTAATGACCTGAGGAAAATTAAATCATTTAAGATTTCTTCCCACATCAGATTTCAACATATTATTTCTATTATCTGATATCTTGGAAACTTCAAGAGAAGAACAGCTGACAACGTGAGGATTGTCTGCCTGAACACGATTCTGAGCGTTTTTATAACAAAACTAAAAACACTGTAATGAATGCCCAAAAATGCACAAAAACTAGTGTGGATTTTAACTGCACCACAGCATTAATTTGTATGGTCTCACTGTTTTTCATGGAATTGCTCAGTTCTGCCAGCTTCAAGAGACAGCACGTTCTTCATTATATACTTAGGCTTACAAATGTAAATCAGCAATTACAGTCAGCAATTTAAGGCATTTTACTAACTTCAGTTCATATTATGTATCTGTCTTTCCCACAAAGCAAGTCTCATTCCCAGCTTACAGAGCTAAGTCATAACTGAACATGAGCACTCTTATACAGGAAATCAGATTAAATTTCCTTTTTTTTTTCAGATGAATCAGTCACTATCTCAAACAAAACACTGCTTTAAAGGTTATGTTGTTGATGCTTAAATTCTAATCACCAACTCACCTCCCCAGCATTTGGAGCCTTGGATATAGTATAAATCCCAAAGAGCCCAGAATCAGAGTAATTCACATTAAATGCAGAAGCCTGCAAAACAAACATCATCATCAACTGTTTTAAGCATCAGAGTAATTCAGCAACAAGCATTGAAAAAGAATTACTATTAAGATCTAAAATACTGTAATTCAAGAAGCTAAACTCCATGTGCTGAGGAAATATCAGACTGGAAGCCCTTCACTGATACACTGTAATATGTGCAAGAACAAACCAATTAAGATTCTAGCTGAAGGTAGTAACCTCTCAAACATAATACACATTTTACTTAAAAGTCAGAATACAGTAATCCTTTGAACTTACATCAAATGGCTGGCCAGTTGCTTTAGCAATACCCTGGGTCAATTTGCTGGTAACACTGCTTCCCCTCTTGACAAGGGGGCCAGCACCTAAAACATACTGAAGGACACTGAAGGCATTTGCTTCTGGGCTCCCAACAACAGCTCCTTCTGCTACAATAGCAGCATGGACGAGGCTATCACCAGTCTGTTTCCTGATTTCTCCTAGAAATACAACAGAATAAAAGGTAATACAGTGTTGAATTAGAAACTACTGTACATCCAGAAGCATAGAAAAGAAACATTTTGCTTTAACAAGGGAAGAGCCAGGGCCTAAAGTTACTGCATATCCACTCAGGAAGGCAGCATGAGGCTGAAGGTAATTTTAAAAAGTCCTTTAAATTCAAAATTTTTCTTGCTAGCACAAAACCCAGTACCTTACTATGCCTTGTTTGAACCTGACCCTAAACTATACACAATGTGGGATGATAAAACTCAAAGAGTCTCCACAAAACAAATACCCAGAAAATAGTGTACCTTCTGTTCATAATAATATTTATGCTGGCTTATAGAAACTGAAGTTATTCCAGTCAAATATTAAATGCTGGAAATTTTCTTTTTCCTCTTCATGTCTTTACAGAGATATCTGATACTCCAACTAAACAACACCTGTTGGTAATGGTACAAAACACTGAAAAAATGGTAAAAAACACTGAAAGAGCTAAGCCTTGCTTTGACTTACAACACTTAACACATCTCTAAATAGGAATCCTACCTCCACCTGACAGCCCTTAACCTACTCTTACAGGAATCTTACCAAAACTGCCAAGAGAAACCATATGGCAGCTTGTTTTTCACTTTATAGAAAATATTATGTCCCAGGTAAAACTTAGTTGAAGAGTTGGGTGCAGTTTTATCCCCCAGCCTTCCATGGTGGAATCTTCTGCTTATTTAAATGGGATATGCATCTGAACTGTCACTTCCAATGTCCAGCAGTTCATGTAACTAGCGTTTCCAGTTGTAACTTTGAATACTGCTACATTTATAAACAGAAAATCAGTCATTCCTAATAGATACAGGAAACATCCTTACCCCCTCTATAAACAGCCTTTGCACCAGGAGCACCAGCTCCACTTCGGATATTCAGGAATTGCTCTGCAACTTGCTTTAAGGTAGAGTGCTTTATACCTGCAATACAACAGTTACTCCAATTAGTGCAATGACATTGAAAAGCTACAGCAGTTAAATGAAAGTGAAGCCTATGTTAACAGCTTCTCTGCAGAGAACTCTAATTTCTCCAGTGGTTTCCCCAAATGACCTGCAGTGTTCATTCAGGAACATACATACCTATTCCAACGAGAGCCATTCTTGAACTTGTGAAATTGTTCTGTACAAAATGGTGAAGCTGCAACAGTAAATTCACGTTTTAGGGTATTTGTTTAAAGAACAAAAACCGTGTGTGTTTCTGACATAGGCTCTTACACTTCTTTAAGTGAATTCCAAATCTTCCAAAAGGAACTGTCTATAGAATGTAATTTTATTGCATTCCCCAGTGACAACTACTAAACACTTTTATAGAAAAGAACAGTTGCATTTCACTGACAGCTTTACTGTCAACAGAAAGCCACTGACAACCATCTTTTTAAATGTGAATGTGAGTTCTGTACCCAGTATTAAAAGTTGCATGGAAATAATTTATGTCAAAACCAGATCAGTAAGGTAGTAAATACTAACTATATGTATATTAAATTAATTTGGTCTCACAAGTGTCACCACCTATTCCTGACAAAAAACTGAAACAGATAAATAGCACAATAGAAAGAACCCTACCTGTTCCGAAGTAATTTTTCCAATTCTGTAGTCTGGACAATACAAGGGATTTGCCAGAGCATTTTTATAAGCTGCAGCATGCAAGTTTTCCAGCACTCCTGAGAGGAATAAAGTTTCAGATAGTTAACATAAGAGCCACATGTAATGAAGGAGAGCTGTGGTCCACTTTAAGAACCACAATATTTGCAAAAGCAGGTCTGGAATAATCCAATTAATAGGGAAGTTTCTAAATCCTTGGGCTGGAACAACCTGGCCTGAGGCCTTCTGTTCTTCTGTAACATTAAAAAGTAACTAAAACAAACTTATTATACAAAAAACTTACATATGCTCAACACTTTTTGGCTTCAACAGCAAGCTATAAATGCAATCAATGTTTAGAAGAAGGGTAGCATCATCCTTGTAATTATCATCTTCACTGTAGGAATCCCTTGTTCCTGAGAAAGAACAGGCTCTCTAGAATACTATTTGTAGCTTTGTGAGGTGTCTACTCTATCTCCCTGCTCAGATGGAGGATGCCAGTGTCTTCAATTCCCTTCTCATTATATTTTTTTTTTTTTTGCATTCCAACAGCATTCTAGTAATTCCTGTTTTATATTCTCCTTGTATTTGCTCACACTTTTTCCTCAAGAGAAAGATTCCTTTCTTCATAGTTCTGTTTCTGAACATAACTGTAATGTAACTGAAAATATTACATTACTGTGAAAACAAACCTGCAGTTGATATAAGTTAAAAAAAAGAAAATTAATAATTTTAAAAAATAGTAGCACTTCAGTATAAACCAGAGATTTTTCCAACATTACAATGTCACCTTCAATGGGTTACAAAGGTAAACATACTTCAGAGTGGTACAAATTATGTTTATTGAGTAGAACTACCTGCATGGTCTTGGATGACAAGAGTTAATACAAGATATACTGGAATAAGCTCGATTTGACTGAGGCTTTGTGTTGCGTTTCCTCTTTGTTTTCCCTTAAACACAGAAATCTAAATTTGCAACCCTAAAGCTGGAACCCATTTTCAGTATGCTGAAAATACATATTGTTTTTATACCAAAATAACAATACAAATTCAAGAATTCTTTTGCAGGATACTGTTTTCACACCAATGAGTAATACCTAAATATGGTTTTCAGAACACAGGCTTCTGCAAATACACTGTCAACAACAGTCACGACTTGCACATTCTTTGGCTGCACTCAACAAGAATTAAAAATGTAGAATGAAAGCTGTGACGGAGAATGGTGTAAGATATTTTCAGCATGTTACTTACTAAATGTAAGGCTGGAAAAACCTGTGTATTAAGAAAAGTTCCGTAACATCAGAAAGACCATACCTATCACTAAGCTGAAAAATTCAATGTTCATCTGACAGAACAAAAGGGAAACTATTTTTTCCACTTTTTTTTTAATTTTTATTTCGAAGGAACTCCTGCAGTGGCAATACAATGGAACAGAAAATACACTTACCAACTTGAGGACTCTGAAGTGCAATTGCTTTATCAACTTTTAATTGTGGCTGAAGATCAGCTACTTCCCATGGTCTGAATTCTGGTGCTGTGGTAACATTCAGGAGATATTCCATTACTGTATCACTACATAAAAAAAGTTACAATGACATTAAACACAAGCAACATGTACTTACTTCTGCAGTTGAAAGCAATTAAAATTAATTTGTAAGCAACACATTAACAACAAAATGCATCACTCAAGCCAGAGCAATTATTAGCACTGCTGTACAAAGTAGGATAATTCAATTCTGCAACATTTGTATGCTCAGTAACATGACACAGAAGTTGAATATTAATATAGTAATTTACTGATTTATTACAAAAGCATGAGAATAGATATTCCTCCCACCCTGTAAAATGACAGGTCTTCATTACCAAGCAATTTTAAAGAAGGTAGTAATTCCCTTTATAGCCCATCCAGATACCTACACATAGTCTCGCAGACATTCAACAGAGTAAACCATTTTCTCTCTTGTTGCGTGCACACTACATCAGAAAAAATACAAAATCCATTTCAACAAAAAACACAGAAGTGGATTTTTACACATATTTCCGGTTGATCAAATTAATCAACAAGACACAGTCTGGAATAACTCCTTAACCTTAAATCTGTCTGGAATGACTGTTTAAACATATACAGAGCAGAAACAGGCATAATTAAAAGTCACATCTTCAGTATTCAAGTAATAACAAGTGCCCTGTGACCATCAGAATTTAAGATACCACAACAATTCAAGGTTGAACAGTGAATAAGGTTGAATAGCAAAACATGAAAAAAAATGTGTGTATGTATTAAAGCAATTTAGAAATTACTTCTTTGGGCAGAAAACAGTTGGTCCTGTCCTTTTCCTTCAACATATTTGTTAGTGACAGGATCTGAAAAGGGTAGAATCATGAAACACTATTTTTAACCAAATTCTAGATAAAAACATCTTAGTGCATGATTTCAAGATACACTGAAAGAAGCAGGTACATTGAGATCCCTCTTTTGTTCCTTTCAGTCTTGTTTTCTAGGCTTGAAACCCTCAAATCACAAAAGCTAACTACTGTCTGTACTGCTCCTGCAATCTGCTCACAAAAGATGAAGAAAATAAAAAAATCTACTGATTTCAGGAAGTTTATTCTCAAAGTCTGCAAAAGCAGAAAGAAAATTAAGCTTCTAGACAAATTATATTTCTTCCATGTGCACAGTATTTAGTTTATTGAAAGGTGTTTTTAATATACAACTCATGAGTACACACTTGACGCTTAACAGAACAAAAAGCACAAGATCTTCCTTGACAACATTCACTATTCAAGTACCACTTCCAAGCTGAGTTTACCCACTTAAACACTGTTGTGCTTATTGTCTTATGTTTCCTTTAGTCCTAGAGCTCATTTGCATCTCACCAACACAGATTATCTTTCTATGTGGGTACAAACCTCAGGCTGCCACCAACAGCTTCAATGCCACGAGTGATCCGGAAGGAGGAAGCTCCTTTAGTAGTCTATTAAAACAAATAAAAAAAGGCAACTTTTATAAAAAAAAAAATAAAAAACATACTGAGTTGATGACAGCAGTAAGAGAAACTACTTAGAAATATTCCACACATGCAATAAATTGAGTTTGTATCAGCCACCTGAACTAATTTTTACCGCAGCTTAAATAAAATGAGTTATGTATATATTTGAATATAGATCTACTAAATATCTATCTAGTTTAAGGCATCAGAGGAAAGAATAATTATAAATGAGCATTACTTCCCATCTGGCCAGGAAGCAGTATCATTTCTCCTGCACTGAGCCACATAACCCAGTACCATGGCACATGGTTCTCCACGTTGCAAGATTTCTTACATTAAATTTTACTATACCATTTACTTTTGCAATAATAAACCTTTAACCATTTCACCTACTGTCAACATAATAACAAAAGAAATAAACACCTACCAAATTAGATGCAAGACGAAGCAGGTGAGCAGTTCCCAGGTTACTGGTGGTTTCATATCTGCTGCCTGTTTTAATAAATACACCAATTCTTGAAGCTGGAGAAAAGTTTTCCAGAGATGCAATAACTAAGCCATTTGGTAATTTTGTGATCTGTATTAAAAAGGAAAAAAAACACTTTGTTTTCATTCAGTGGAAGTACGATCACAGCTCTGCTTTGACTGAGTTTTAAAAAATAAATTAAAAAGAGGAAAAAAACAACCTTATTATACTGACCTCAAGATCCTGAGACTGTGGAGATAATTTCACTTTCTCTGCAGTTGGTGAGGATGAAACTTTAGGAGCTGTTTTAAGCGAGTAAAATCTCTTCTAGAGAAGAAAGCACAAGAGAACCGATTTCCTTTTTTAGTTCATCAGGTTTCTTTACATAGTGAAAAAGTATTTTACTGATTTAAAGTAAAAATGCAGTGAAAGACTTCAAACACTGGAGTAAAAACAGTGATTCCCTTGTAATTCCTCTGATTATTTTTTACATCAGTCAGAACCTGTGCTATGATTTCACAAGGACTCTGGAATTTCAAGAAACTGCACTGTAAGAGTTTTTCCTTCCCTCCTCTTTGCAGCTGTGCAGTGGGTATCCCTCTCAATCCCATACAGTCTCTAGGACACCTGAGAGCAAGTGCAGAGCAATTACCTGAACCAAGAGCCATAACAATCCACATACACAGCACAACAGCTTGGAGGTAACCTTAAATTTCTTATATGTAGGCAGTTCAGCTCCTGAAGAGTCACCTCAAGAGTTCCAACCTGTCTGCACTGACTCCTGCAAGCAAAGAGGACATGAAGGCAAGTCCCCAGACTGCAGTTTGTGCCTGTTAAAATAGGTCCAGAGGAGGCCATGAAAACAATCAAAGGACTGGAACACCTCTGCTACACAGACAGGCTGAGAGAGCTGGGGAGTCCAGCCTGGAGAAGAGAAGGCTCCAGGAAGACCTCACTCCAGTCTTGCAGTACCTTAAAGGGGCTCTTTAAGAAGAGACAGGGACACAGGCAGATAGTGACAGGACAAGGGGAAATAATTTTAAACTGTTAGAGAGTTACATTAAATTTTAGGGAGAAATTATTCCCCGTGAGGTGGTGAGGCACTAGAACATGTTGTCAAGAGAATTTCTGGATGCCCCATCCCCTAAGTCTTCAAGGCCAGGCTGGATAGGGCCTAGAACAACCTGATCTAATGTAAGATGTCCCTACCCATGACAGGGGGCTGGAATGACATGATCTCTCTAATGTCCCTTCCAACTCAAACCATTCCATAATTCTAGGATTTTAATAACCAGAAGCAGTCCTTCACATGAAAGAGGTGAATATCACAAGAGCCCTGCCTTCAGCAGCTGGCAACAGAAATGACAAGACTATTGATTTCAAATCTGAAATGCTATTGCCTTCCACCCACTTTAGAAGTTGGTTATACTAATTAATTTACATATTACTCTTGCTTTCACATTAAAAGATAATTCCTATACATCTCAAGTTGAAAAGTGAGTGACAGAAACACCACTGCGCTTCAGCTGTACGGATGGCCAGTGATGTAATTCCCATTGTTTTACCAGAGACTATCCATTGTATGAATGTATGAAAAACTCCTTTACTCCCTCACCAAGGGTTTGGTAAGACACCTAGTTTTAAACTCTAAACTCTAGTATTTTATGAACTACTACTTCATATCTAAAACTGAGTCACAAACACGCTGTCACTCAGAGGTCATTCTCCATCCCACTCGAGCGCATTCCCAGAGCTCATCCAACACAGGTTCTGCCCGGCTGCCAGCCAGCCCCAAGAGAGCCTTTGGGCAGGACAAGCCCTCTGCCCCCTCCCCGCTTCCAGGACACGCCAAGCGCCAATGCCAAGGGCACCACCTTGTCTCAAGCAGCTGACGCTTCTCCAGCGCGGCGGGATCCCCTCACCTCCCTTCTCTCCGTGCCCCCTGGGCCGCTGCCGGGGCGGCTCTGGCAAAGCCTGCGGCGCCGCGGGGAGCTCCGGGCCCGGCCCGCGGCCTGCCTGACCTTCAGCCGCCGTCCCGCT